GCAGAAGTAGAAAGTAGTTTAAAAATAATTACTTTAGTAAAATATAGATGGTCAACATTACTACTAAATGTAATAAAGTATTTGTACTGTGTTACTGCTGGACGGTACAGGTTCCCTCTGCCTGACCTGCAGCAGCAGAGCAGCCTGTGGTTCTGCTGCTGGGTGTCATAGATTCTTCCTCTCAGTGATGCGGTTCTGCGTGGGTACCGGTACCTCAGCAGCATGGGTCGGTCCTCTGAATGGATACAATCAGCATCTCCATCTATCCCCCTCAGCATCATGGATCATTCTAAAGGTTCCTGGAAGGCACCGCATCGACTTTCCACCTGATGAAACTCAGCAGATGACCTGAACTCATCACCATCAGCAGAAACTTTTGTCTCACATGGTATTAGATAATCTAACCAGAAACCAGGAATGAAAAACATCTGGAAAGAATATTTTTATTATTTTTGTTCACAGAATAAAAAAAAATCTGAAAGTTAAGTTTGATTATCTTTTTGTATCTAAATGAATAATAAAATCAATGGTAAAGAAAAATCTTATATCCAGACATCCTCCTGTGCCTCATGATGTCATCGCCCATATTTGGCAAGGATGATCCTCATTATCTTCAGCTCATTGGTTAAAATATAACAAGAAAGAAGTGAAAAATATGATCTTTGTCTCTTTAATGGAGTTAAAATTGGTAATTAAACCAAATTTTGTCTCCTTCAGTGACAGACTGCTGCACCCTAAATGCACTAGGGAGCGTTATCCCAGCACCAGGGAGCGTTATCCCAGCAGCTGGAAGACTCTAGAACCACCACTGTTCCCAACAACCTCAATCAGTTCTTCCATTCATGATGATTTTGCTCAGTTTCTACCTTAGTCAGTTAAATAACCTGCTGCTGTCATTTTGCACATCTCTGATGTTGCTGCTATTTTCAAATATCTGTTACTGTAAAAATGTCCATAGCTGGATATTGGTTATTTATTCTCCAGGTGCACAGTTTGATATTGTTAAAAAACTTTACGGTATTTTATTGTTTATATTTTAACTCTTCAGTATTTAATGCTTATACAATTTTCTAATGTCCACATGTGTGTATGACGGAGTATTAGTGCCAGACTAAAGTCGCGACATTANCCAGTTTGATGCTGCTGCTAAAAGATTTCCTGATTTGTCAAACTGATGCCAAAGTATAACTTCACATGATGCTCCACATTCCTCATTGTAGGGAAGAAAGGGTTTCTAGGAAGAGTTATCATAAAATACGACTTTATTCTCGTAATATTAGGACTTTATTCTCAAAATAAAAAATAAATCTCTAGCCTGGCCCTAATACTCCGTCGTATTTGTGTGACCATTTTTCTATAATCTTTTTGCTGTAGTAAACACCCGAATTTCTCCATTGTGGGACAATAAAGGGATTTTCTATTTTATTCCTTTGATTGGTTTTTGAGAATAAAATGAAAAATGTTAACATTTTATATTTGGAAACAAAAATCCAGCAGGAATACAGATTATAAGATTCATGATTCTGCGAAAATCAAAACCCCAAACAGGATCCGGTGTTCTGTCAGACCAGCATTCCCCGTCAGACCAGCATACCAATAGTCAATACCCGTTTATCCTTTTAGTTTAACACTCTAGTTTTTTATGAAGAATAAACTTTAAACTACCTCATCGGGCGTGTATCCCTTTAGTCATGTACAAAAAAACTATTTAATTACTTTTTGGTGTTTTTTGAAGCGTATGGCGATCAGACCTTAAATTGTTTTTTGTACATAACTAAAGAGATAAAAGTAAATCTGACATGTTGCGCATGCGTATTGACTATGGGTATGCTGGTCTGACAGAACACCGGCTGCCAGCGAAGTACTACTTCTTTTTATAAAAGGCCTCAGCAAACAGTCACAGAGACAAAACGTGCGGGAATGTTTTATATAATTTATCAAAAATATTCATATATTTCCAGTGCAGTAGTAAAGCAGAATAAAAGGCAAAGTAAAGCTAATAATAGATTAACAGACAAATTGCACTTATGATGAGCGGCTGGACGCCACATTTTGGCACCTTCAGAGAGTCTGTTGGTTCAAAGGTCATCTGGGTCCAACGCTTCTCCAACACAGCCAGGCTTCCAGCATACGATGCACCAGGAACACCAACCATACATGTTCAGCAATCCACGTCACCTCTGTGTTCCTGTTCTAGTTCTCCTTCTTTACAGTGTTTCATATTCTAATTAAAGCCAAAAACCACCTCAATCTTACAGTAACATGTTGACAAAAGGAAAAAGAATATCCCAGTCATCAAATAAAAGAATCCCTTCAAGCAAACATTGACAAAACAAGACTTAATCTTTGCTAACTTGGATAAAAACATCACTCCCTTATACCTTATACAGTGGG